TTCATGAAGGACGAACTGGAATCCTCACCATCTAAAGCATAGACCCCATAATTGTGTAGCCATATTGTAATTTAGAAAAAGAAGATCTGAATTCTCGAGGTGGAAACCACAAAATCCGCAAGAATTGTCATTTGCATCCTTTAGTGCCCCCTTCTTTTGTAAGTTGTCTTTTGTTGGAATCCTATGTTATAAATTTTAATTAAAAATTGTAACTGATTGTTCAATTTCAGTGGGTTACAAACCCATTATTTTCAAAATCAATTCCAATCAGTTACCAATCCATTTTTTTCAAAAAATCAAACTTGTGTTAGTTACAAATTCATGCCTTCTTGCTTTAAGAATGGATTTGTGCGTTTCTTTCTAAAAGGAAAAAATCAAATTCAAATATTTTAACATTATAATCTGTTGTTTTATTTTTTTGTAACAGGCAAGATGCATGAGTTACTCATCAACTTTTTCAATCTTATAACTGATAAGATTTATTTTAAATTTGTAACAGTCTCGCACTTTATTTTTCTATTACATTGTGAAAGCCTATAAATAGGCAGCCTCCACTTTTACCAAAAGGTTGATACAATTTTTTATAATCTGCACTTTTATTTCATATATATAGTATACAAACTCTCTTTGGATAAGAAAAAGGTGGTGGGGTAAAGCCTTCTTTACAAGAGTTCAATACTTGTAAAGATACAACAAGGAAATGTTGAGCTGTTGTATTCTAAGAGCGGTGTAATCATAAAAACTTACTGCACTAGTGGCATGAAATGTTTTAAAAAAAGTTATTGATCCACGCCTTAACTTAAACTCCTCATATTTTTTGTGACATCTTTGTACTTTTCATCTTCATCTTTAATTAATTGTTTTTTGCTAATCTTTTGTCTATTTTTTCTTTCTATTTATTTGATGAGGAACAACATCCTATTCTATGTTAATTGCCACACAAAGGTAGACACTTTGCTTGGGATATCTTTGTTCCACACCCTTTTGAAAGTTGTTGCGCCTCTGCCTGAAATTGGGATGATAGAACTTCGTAGCCAGAGCTTGTTGAGTATAAGCCATCTGTGCTATATATCCATATCCACTCATCAAGTTTGAATTGCACAGGTGCCTTCTGTTGAACTAGAGCCATTAATTCCTGTTCCCAAAATTCCAAGCATAAAGTCTTCGTCGCCATTCAAAGTCCCACTGCCAACCTGAGTTTGTCCACCTACCCATACGAGCTACTTTCTTTTCTTTCCTTGTTGACAGATGAAATAATCTAGGAGATATGCTAACCAAACAATCCTCACCCACCCACTTATCCTTCCAGCTGAAACTAACCTCTTTTTGCCATTTTCCTAGTCTTATCCTAAAACCCTTCTCCAACCAACCCTCCAAACCCTCTATCAACATCTTTAGACTCCCTAAATCCCTCCACCATAATGACCCTCTCCTATTACCCTTCCTCATACAAGACTCCCACTTATTCTTCCAGGAAATATACTTTTTCTCCAAAACTTTTCGCCACAGCCCATTCTCCCCTTTTGCGATCCTTCCCCCCCACTTAGCTACTCTTACATGCAGTGTACTGTCCACAAGAACTTGATCGGAACAGAATAAGCATGGGCAAGACCGAGCGTTAAGCCCTTGAATTGACTTTGTATTTTCAATTGAATCTTTAGATTTTTCTTTTTTTTTCTAAAGAGATAAGCCCCTCCTAAGACTTGGCGCATTTTCGTCATTTTCTTAACACTGGATTGTAAAGTTACAGACAAAGGCATGGAAGAGTGTAAAATTGCACAAATTATGGGATTCAGGAGCTTATCTACTTTAATAAAATTTTAGGGGTTCAAATGAAAATATAGGGGCAGTTGAGAGGTTTAATGTGGGTTTTTGCCTTGAATATGGCGAGAAATTATGCGGTGAAGGGTAGAGGTAATATTTTTTAGAGTAGTTATCATCATCTATTATTATATTAAGATCATCAAATTTTATTTAATTTGATTATTAAAAATAATTGATAGTTATTACAATAATTAATGTTTATTATTTAATAAATTAAAATTAATTTATAAACTAATATTTTCATACATCAATAACAAATTATTTAAAAAAAATACAAATAAATAAAATATCAATTAAACTAAACAACTTTTAGATAATCTTAACGTAA